CATTTGGCGTCCTCTAGTCCTTCTATTATGGGAACTAATGAAGAACTTTTCTTTATGCACCCTCTCCACACCACTCATGCTTTTATAGACCTCTATCATATCCCCCCTCAGTCTCCTCTTTTCTAAGCTGAGAAGTCCCAGTCTCTTTAGCCTCTCTTCATATGGGACCTGTTCCCAACCCCTGATCATTTTAGTTGCCCTCCCCTCTCCCACCCTCTCTCTTCCCCTCTCTCACCTCCTTTTCCCAGTCTCCCCGAGTTTTGTTCAAAAAAGAGCGTTTCTAGTTTTGAACACACGTGTCCTTTATTTTGTACATCAGGAAGAGGGGCTAGGGAGGGGTAAGTGGAAGGAGGCGAGGGAGGAATGGGATACAAGACCCTGATGGGGAGGACTGGGGTGGCTCTGCGGGCTCCTCGGGGTGGAAGCTCTCCTGCAGCCCCCCGATTGAGCCCCCTCCCCCGGATGGCAGCCTGCGGCAAGTGCAGCCAGGCTGATGGCCAAGTCCTGTGATATGCTGAGTGTGAGCATTCAGGGCACTTCAAGCCAGGACTGCTTTGCTGTCCCTCATCAATTTAGACAAGCGAGCGGAGAACCCCTGAGAACTGTCTGTCCGGGGTGGGGGTCGGGTCCCTTTAAGCACAGCCCTCGGCTAGCCTGAGACAGCAGCTCCACGCTCTAAGTCCTAATCTGTTGCCCTGCCGGCACTGCTTCCGGCCATTCTTAACCTCGGTTCAGGGTCCACTCAATGCGGACATGCTAGTTCGAATTAGCAAAACGCTAATTCAAACTAGTTTTTAAATCTAGCTGCACTAATTCGAATTAGCTTAGTTCGAATTAGTGCTGTAGTGTAGACATACCCATAGTAATGAATCGTTGTTTCTGAAAGCAGTGGTGTTATTCATTTCACTCCATTGTAAGAGTGAATTCTACAACCTCCATCTAGCTGCTGAGAAAATTCTGCCAAAACTCACCCTCATAATCAACAGTTTCATTAGTCCAGATTTTGCTTTGAAAGCTCTGTCCTATGATGCGGTTAGTCCAGAATCAGAATGAAGGAAGCTTTGGTTCTTAAGGCAGAGACCTTTAGTTTGACTCTGTATTCAGCGTAACACACTGCTATAAGCACAATTTCAGAGTGATTTAATTACAATGG